TTGGTGGGGGAGTCCTTGCTCCGGGAACCCTCTTTGAAAGAAGTAGAGAGGGTGTCTATCTGGAGGAGGGCCTTCTCCACAGTGGCACCCATACTATGGAGTGTGCTTCCCAGAGAGGTCCACCTGGCGCTGATGTTACATTCTTTCTGGTGCCAGGTAAAGACCTTTTTATTCAACCATCATTTTAATAATCAAGAGTTTTAGATGTTTTCGATTTTTTTTCTTTCCTTCTTCACAGTCGCATTTTCTATTCTTTTCCTCCCTTTCCTTTTTTCTAAGTTCATGATGTGTTATTTTAGATTGTTTTAATGATTGAGGTTTTATTATTGTACTATTGTAATTGTATATTGTGTAAGCCGTCCTGAGCGCTTGTTGGAAGGACAGGATATAAATGTTTGTAATAAACAAACTTCTACACCTTTTCAGAGAAAGCTAAAGGGAAGAATTACTTGAAAATCAGGGAGGTGATGAATGAATGAATGAATGAATGAATGAATGCCCATGTTTGAGTTGACATTGCAATGCATGCTTTCCAGCTTGTCCCAACACACACACATGTGCACACACAGTAAATATGCAATGCAAATAAATTTTGGCCCTCTTCTGAGTTCTGCATTGAACAAGGGGTTGGACCTGATGGCCTTTTAGGCCCTTTCTAACTGTATGAATCTATGAATCAGTGAATCCTGGTAGATTGAACTAGTGGGTGGTTTGCTTTGTCTGCAAAAATAATTATATTTCCTTAGTCAGGTCTCTTTTCCTAGACTGCACATGGAAGAAGTTCTCCAACATTTTCTCTTACCTCAAACATGGACATTTTCTAGGGCTTGCATCTTCTATGAATGAATTGAAACGAGGAGGGCTTTATATTTCATTCTTGCTAAAATAATGCAGTATGTATTATATTGTGACCTTCTAATGTTGCTTTTTGCCTCTTCTGACTTGGAGTAAGACATTCATTGTTTTTTCATTCAACAAAGTAATCATCTACTATGCACGAAATGGCTTCTTCCCTTTAGCATTGCAGAGAATGTGTTCTACAGATGAAGTTTCTTTAGATAGGTGTTGCTGTTGTTAGTTGCAAAGTCGCATCCAACCCATCGCGACCCCATGGACAACATTTCTCCAGGCCTTCCTTTCCTCCACCATCCCCCAGAATCTACTTAAGCTCACACTGACTGCTTCAGTGACTCCATCTAGCCACCTCATCCTCTGCTGTCCCCTTCTTTTGCGATCTATTGTTCCCAGCATTAGGCTCTTCTCCAGGGAGTCCCTCCTTCTCATTAGGTGGTCAAAGTATTTGAGTTTCATCTTCAGTATCTGGTCTTCTAAAGAGCAGTCAGGGTTGATCTCCTCTAAGACTGGCTGGTTTAATCTCCTTGCAGTCCAAGGGACTCGCAGAAGTCTTCTCCAGCACCACAATTCAAAGGCCTCAATTCTTCGGCACTCAGCCTTCATTATGGTCCAGCTTTCACAGCCATACATTGCAACTGGGAAAACCATAGCCTTGACTACACACACTTTTGTTGGCAGGGTGATGGCTCTGCTTTTTAGTATGCTGTCTAGATTTGCCATAGCTTTCCTCCCCAGGAGCAAGTGTCTTTTCTTGGCTGCAGTCCCCATCTGCGGTGGTCTTGGAGCCCAGGAAAATAAAATCTGTCACTACCTCCATTTCTTCCCCATCTATTTGCCAGGAAGTGATAGGACCGAATGCCATGATCTTAGTTTTCTTAATGTTGAGTTTCTAGCGAACTTTTGCACTCTCCTCTTTCATCTGCATCAAGGGGCTCTTAAGTTCCTCTTCACTTTCTGCCATTAGGGTAGTATCACCTGCATATCTGAGGTTTTTGATATTTCTCCCAGCAACCTTAATTCCAAGTTGTGATTCATCTAGCCCTGCCTTTTGCATGATGTGCTCTTCATGTAAGTTAAATAGGCAGGGCAACAGTATACAGCCTTCCCGAACTCCTTTCTCAATTTTGAACCAATCAGTGGTTCCATGTCCAGTTCTCACTGTTGCTTCTTGACCCACAATAGGTTTCTCAAGGGACAAATAAGATGGTCTGGTACTCCCATCTCTTTAAGAACTTGCCACAATTTGTTGTGATCCACAGAATCAAAGGCTTTAGCATAGTCAATGAAGCAGAAGTAGATGTTTTTCTGGAACTCCCTAGCTTTCTCCATGATCCAGTGTATGTTGGCAATTTGATCTCTAGTTTCTCTCCCTGCCTGTACTTCCGGTAGTTCTTGGTCTTCATACTGCTGGAGTCTAACTTGTAGGATTTTGAGCAGAACTTTGCTAGTGTGTGAAATAAGTGCAGTGGTGCGGTAGTTTGAACATTCTTTGTCCAGATATATCTGCAACCGTGTGTACTTTTGACTTTGACCCAGTCACTTCCTTCTTTCTGGCGCTACTAGTACTAGCCCTCTGCTCTTCCCAGTAGCACATTGGACATCTTCCGACTTGAGGGGCTCATCTTCCGGCGTCATATCTTTTTGACTTTTGGTACTGCCCATGGGGTTTTCATGGCAAGGATACAGGAGTGGGTTGCCATCTCCTTCTCCAGTGGAACACATTTTGTCAGAGCTCTCTACTATAACCTGTCCATCTTGGGTGCCCCTGCATGTCATAGCTTCATTGAGCTACACAAGCCCCTTCACCACAACAAGGCAGTGATCCATGAAGTGGTTAGATAGGTAGATACTCTTTTTTCCAAAATATTGTTGCACATGTTTGAGAGGTTGAGAAGTTCTTATCTTTGAAACATTGAAGCTACTTTACTGGGATAGGCTTAAAAAAATAAAGAGAAGTTTTATTGGTCAGCTGCCCCTTTTTGTCTTTTTCTTTCTTGAACTGTTGTAAACGGTAAGATTGTTTTGTAACTTTTACATATAAATGAATTACAGGAATTCTTGAATTTCTGGAACACCTTCATGGGAAGTGGAAAGGCCTGCAAGGATGGCAATAGCGTAGAGGCCAACACTTTTTCTGCTCCTCAGTTCATTAGGCTAGTTAGCAAAAGCACACCAGTTCTTTGAAAGCTTCAGCTGTACTGTAATGCGCACTGCAGTGGAAGATCCTCAGGTTTTTGACTTGATGTATAACAAAAAAATTGACTGCCATTGGGCTGCTGGACGAGTGGATAATACCAATAATCTGTGTGTAGGTATTTTACAGTCTGTATATGTTTGTATGTAATTGAGAATGAGCCTCATGGAGAATCAGAGTGGGGAGTTTCCCAGGTTCCTGCTGCAGTGTTTCAGATGCAATCCATTAATTACTGTGCTAATATTGCCATCTGAGCTACTCTAGGACTAACCTTTGTATGAGAAACACAGAGCACTCCTTATAAGTACACATTCTGTTCCCTGGCTATAGGCTAAACATATGAAAGTGTTCTGATAACTAAAGAGCAATCCCTACCTTTTTGGAAGCTTTGTAACATACCTGGCAACCTTTCTAATTCAGATTTTCCCAACTTTTAAAGCTTGTCAACAAGGTCAACTACTAATTCACATATTCAAGTCTGCTCACTAAAGATTTCTCACAGGACTTGGCGAAAGCATGGGATGTTTGGCCCAGGACTCTCACTGAAACAGAATGATGAATATTAAGAAGTCCCCACCCCTCACCACACACCAGTTTTTCTTCTCTGCCTTGGCTCAGCTTCCAAGCATCCTCTGAGGCATTCATACTTGGCCTAGCTGCTTTTAACTGTTCAGTGCTGCTTCCCAGCTATCATCCATTTCCTGCTGTCCCCTGCCCCAGTTGCTCTGGCTTCCCATAATGCTCAGAAAATATGCCTCAGAGTTACTTGGTAGTAGCAGTTCTGTGTTTCCTTCCTAGCTCTAGCTCTAGCTAGCCCTGCACAGTTACCCCAACTGGTCTCCAGTGTGGTCCCTAAAGACTCTGGATCTGCCAAGAGTTAGAATTCCTTTGATATCCTCTTAACACAAAGGACAAGTCACGTTCCAGATAATGCTGTATCTTGTTTACTCTTTTAAAATAATGGGACACTTGTCACTTCTCTGCATGTCTGAAATGTGGGAGAAAGGCAATAATGGAAGGGGCACATGAGATAGTTGCAGGGTCACTGGAAACTTCAGTTTTATCCAGCATCCATGCATATCCATAAATACTACTGAAAGTACATCGATGGGGCAGTCCATCGCAGCACAGAAAGGAAAGACAGAGCTGGTTCAGCAAGCAAGCAATTCTTGGAAAAAAGTATGTAGATCCCTGACTGGGATGTTAATCCAGTTCTGGTTAAATTTATCCTGTTCAGCAGATTTGTAAAACAAAAACACCCACCCACCCCCAGCACCACTACTAAACATATACTTTGATTTATGGATAAAACTTATTTCCATGCAAAATACAGGTTTTTATAATCTCTAAGCATGGTAATTTTGCCACTGGTCCTTAATTTACTTTGCAGCCTTTGGCAATAAAGGTAAGTTGAGTCTTGCCACTTAAGGCCAGAAAGGTATCATTTGCATTTAGCTGCGGTGGGGGGGGGGGGGAATGCAACCTAAGGGGTGACTTGAAGCTGAAAAGAGATGAGATGTCCCAGGAAAGGGTTAAGCACCTCTTCTCTTACCCAGTTCTGGTCTGCTCCAAGCTGCCTGTTGTTGAAGTAGCTTTTCCTGAAAGAAAGAGAAATAAGATATTGGGGGTATGGATGCACACATTTGCACATAAGCCCTTGGACCCATATTTTGAGCTTAGGGGAGCTGTGGCTCTTCCAAAATCCATAATGTGTGTTGAACTGAGGACAGCTGTGAGTACTTTCTGATACTTAGCTTATGGAATTCACCAGAAACGTTGGAGGATGCATCTGTTTAGAGATAACCCTGTGCAAAACATTCTTCACATTCAAAGTTTTTGGTTTGTATTCCCACTATTAATTGATTTGGAGTGATCCAATGGATTTAGTTAGACTCCATAAGCTTCCCTCTTACATTTGTATTAACATTTTTCTCTGTGGTATCTCTTCTAGACAATCTGCTTCATTTTGACCAGTCACCATTCCAGGATAGGGGTCCCTAGGACTCTCTGCTAACGTTGACATGGTACAGAAGATAGTACAGAAGATTTAGAATTGGGTAATTGACTTTATACTCTTCGATTAAAACTGAACATTTCTTTTTCTTTAAAAGTTTAACTTTCTTGTGGGAATCTTCTTTCAGCTGATGTTCACAAGGAAAAGAGTCACGTGATGTATGAAGGCAAACACATACACTTTTCTGAGGTTGACAATAAGCCGTTGTGCTCGTACAGCCCCAAACTGTGCAAGCAGAGGCGACTTAACGGCTACGCCTTCTGTATCAGGCACGTTCTGGAGGACAAGACTGCCCCCTTCAAGCAATGTGAATATGTGGCCAAGTACAATAGCCAACGCTGCACCAACCCCATCCCCAAATCGGAGGACCGTAGGTAAGAAATGCTGGTACAGTTATAATACCTGTCTGTGTGTAGTCCTGGAATATTACTTGGAGTCACATGGTGGAAGCTAAGCAGATCTGCATCAACCTGGTCAGCAGGTTAATGGGAGACCATCTGCATTCCTTAGGTGAATTCTGTGGAAGAAATACAACATGTACATGAAATATACATATTTTAAAACAAAGAAAATAATTGTTTGGAGTGTATTCCTCTTGCTTTTACCTTTGAGGCTAAGTTCTTGCACTTGGGCATTTAATGGTCATCCTGTACAGAGCAGGAAGGGTGTCAGAGGCATTTTTTATCTGCCCGTATTTGTGCCCTGCATTTTTTGCCTTTCACACTGGAGCACTTCGGTGGGGAAAGGAAAGAGCCTGGAGAGGTTCATATCCTGGCCTTTCCACTCTTGATCTTCCCTGCCCAACAAAACTCTTCCTTTTAGCCCTTTCTAAGACTGTGGTCCTGACTTCAGAAAGAAGGGAGGGGGAGTTGGTTCTCAGATTCCCTGCTCTGAGTTTGTCCTGCTGTCTCTGACACTGGATTGGAGGAACTGAAGTATCCTGTGACCTCCTCCTGGCTATCTTACAACAGCACACTTTGCCAGATTCAAATTCAACAAAATAAATAACAACTTTGTGTGTGTGTGTGTGTGTGTGTGTGTTTGGAGAACACAGCTGGATTACATGAAGATGCAGGCATATCCCCATAACATAGATAAAAATGGAAGGTTTTTTGCCTGAACACCAGAGACTGCTTGCAGCTGAGCACTTTCAAATGCACACATGCAGCCGTGAGAAAAGCTGTAGCCATAGTAGTAGACATAATACACACAGGTGAATCCTGAGATTCCCTAGAGTTTCCATTTTGCTTTGCTTTGCACAGCTCTAGAATCTTGGTATGAATAGCTAGGACTGAGTATTATAAAACTGCCTCTCTGATTTTGTTGAAGATCTCATTGTTGAGGACAAGAGAGACCAGATGACAGATACCTCTCCTTTTAAGTGCTGAACTATACCAATAGTGTAGAAATGAGTGTAGATTATGAAGTTTCCACACTGTAAACTTTGGGAACCATGCTGAATTCAATAATATACAAAATATATTGTTCTTAATATAGCATAAATAGAAATAAACTCAGTGGGAAAATCAATATATTAGTAATTCTGTCATGGGTAGCTTGAGCCTTTTCTGGGTTACATTAGTTGGCAGTTCAAACAGGGGCATTCAATGCAACAGTCATAGTGTGCTTTCAACAAGGTAAATGCTCAGAGCACCCCACAAAAAGTGTGTTGCAGTGATCCAATCTAGAAATGACCAGGGGATAGGTGATTCAGGCTAGACTAGCGTGTCCACTGAAGAGTGAGGCTGGTGCTCACACCTTACCTTGTAAAAGGGGCTTTCTGACTTTCCCTGCCTCCCAGTCATCCAAAAACAAGAGTGGAAGTAAAGAGCACATCCAAGCTGTGACACTTCTGTTTCAGGGTATCCACCTCTGTTCAATAAATTCAGTTCAAAATGTTATTTTTCTGGCTTCTGTCTCATCAATCACAAATTACATATTCCAACCCAAAAGGCATCTTGGCATCAGATTTGAGAGCACTCTGGCTATATTTTTTAACAGATCGTGCTTGTAGCTTTTAAAGTTTTTTTTAAACTATGTGGGCTAGAGAGACATCCTTTTAATTGAAAGGGTTAATTGAAAAAAATGGTTCTTAAAAACCAGGTTCTGTAATTTATAGTGCAGTCCTATCTATGTCTACCACCCGGAGACATTGTCACTGCCCTGAGACATGGTGAAGGATGGGATATAAAAGCTTGAAACAAACAAATAAAACCTATGAGTTCAACTCCCAAGCAAGTATATAGCATTGCAGCCTTAGTTACCCATATGCTATACAAGTACCCTGGACTGTAGTCTTGACTTTCAAACATAAGTCCTTAACAAAGTCAATAAACGTTTCTGTATATCCTGTTTTTTTTAATCCATCGACCATCAGTTGCAAAAAGGATCACTTATGATATGTTCACCCCTGGAGTGGTGCAGTTCACCAGGCCATACTAGCTGAGTGCATGTGGAGCACTGACGGGTGTGGAGATCAAATAAATTATCTCAGCCTTTACAACACAAGGGTGAAGCATATGGTTATTTATTGTTTTCTGGAATTTTAGCTCACTGCTGTTGAAGGTCAGATAGTATGAAAGTGATGAGAAGCTGCTGTCCCATCCTCCTCCTCCTCCTCCATGTCCTACCCTTCCTCCAAGGAGTAGAGTAGAATATATGTCTTTATCTTCACAACAACCCTGAAAGGTGCTGTAAACTGTGATTGCTCCAAGATCATCTAGTGAGCTTCATGGCTTAGTGAGGATTTGACTCCATGTCTCCCTGTTTCTAGTGTAATATTTTCAGGTTTAGAATAGTTGGCATAACAACAAAAAGTCTTTCCAATTTGTCCTGGCTTAGTAATGCAGAAAGCAAAGACATATTTATTCTTTTCCATGTCTTGGTCTATTAAATTAGACTGCTATATTTTATTTTGCCTCTTTCTCAAGCATAAGGCTAGAGTGTTAGGAATGTAAACTTTCAACAGAAATGTGTTAAAATTAACACAGCTATTTTTATTAGGATGAGAAAAAAAAAAGATTGCCTTGAAAGATTTTTGTTGTACTTAAATGTCACATTTCCTCCATTAGCAGAATTATAGCCTCTATTTAAAGGCTGCCCATTTATTGAAAGTACCCCATATCTGTGGCTTTAATATATCTCATGTAAAATGTTCGATGTAATTCAAACAAATATTTTTATTTTTGAATATATGTAAATAGTCATGAGATTTTAGGTTTCATCCACTGAGATTGCTCACAGATAGGTATGGAAGAGTCCCAATTCAGTTATTTGTTGAAGACTTGTTAATTTTTAATTTTTGTTTTCTAATTTTGCCATGCATAAGAGCTGGGGAGAAATCATTTTTCCTTGTTTTGCTCTTCAAAGGTACTGCAACAGTCACCTCCAGGTGCTTGGGTTTTTACCGAAAAAGGAGAGGAAGAAAAAGAATGATCCAATAGAGGAGGTGAAAGTTCGGCACCAGATGGATTCCATGGCCTTCAGTCTGACTGTCCCTCCATTGGCCTTGAAGATGCCCAATGGCCTGGACGGGATGTCCCTCTCTCCTCCGGGGGCCAGACTTCCTCTTCATTACTTGGAAGCAGAGTTGGAAGACCCCTTTGCTTTTAACGAGGAAGATGATGATCTCAAGAAAGGGGCAACGGTGAAGAAGAAGCTGCAGAGCAAACTAGCCCAGAACCGACAGCGCCAGAGAGAAACAGAGATCCTGAAAGTTCGCCAAGAGCACTTTAGTCCCCTTCCTGCACCTTTGCAGCAGCAGCAGCCGCCTCAGCAGCAGCAGCAGCAGCACTCCCATCTCTCACCTTTACCAACTTCTTTAAAGCCAGCAGGGCTACCACAGGGCTTAGTCTGCAAGTCACCTCAATCTCAGAACACCAGCCTACCACTGCAGGGAGTGGCGCCCACCACACACACTATAGCACAAGCCAGGCAGTTGTCCAACAGAAGACCTCTGCCTCTCCTGCACCCTGCCAGGGCTCCTGCCCCAGACCCACCCAGGGCTGACAGGATCCTCATGAAAGCCACAGCCTTCTCTCCACACTCATTCTGTGTGAGCCGGCTACAGAGACTGGTGAAACTGTGCACTCACAAACAGCAGCTGGATGCTGATCTGTTTCCACACTTAGGTAGGCTGAGCATGAGTTGTGTCTTGTGTTTCTGTTTGCTCTTGGGTCTGGTGGATTTGTAATAGGTGGGCAACTGCATGCAGAGGTACTTCTTTGCTTTTCACATAAAAATGACAAGAATCTCCTAGACAGGCAGTTACCTCATAGTCTAGTCCCTCCAAAATCCAGCTAGGTGCTACCAGGCAATTATTTTGAACCTTCATTGTCGTTTCTGAAGGCAGTTCTAAAAGTAAACAGGAAAAGGGAGGGTGACTACAATGTTGAGCACCAGTTTTAGCCTTTATCATGTGACGTTCAGCCTTCTCAGGAATTTAGAGGTGCAAGCATATGTGGCTATGCAGTCCAAAGCAGCAGAAAATGTAGTTGCTGGCATACGGCACTATCCTGTTCTGTCCATTTGCTAGCAGGATGAACCACACATGCAACAGGGAATTACTGGTTCTAAAAAGCAACCCAAATAGAGTAGAAATCCTTGTGTCTGGAACAGGCTACTCAGCAGAGCTCCCAGAAGGGAGTCCTACTGACTAGTCCAAATATAGGAGCAAGTGTTTCCACTCATTTGCAGAATAAGGTTTAGGATCACAAACTCCTTGTTGCCCAAGTAGCTGATCCCACAGATGCTACATAGGCAACAGGAGCACCGTGGCATTGTTGGATGTTGATCATGGTTCCACAAAGTAAAAGACAAGCAGCTCATATGTATGACAGCTCTCTGGCAATGTCGCCTGTTTCCTTGGATGGGCCCTTTTCCACAGGGCATGAGGTTGCACTTGTTTGGGAAGCTTCCATAACAGCAGGAGAAAATGTTACATATTTTAATATGCTTCTTTATAATGAGGTTCCAGACCATGTGGAAGCCTTTTATGGCAACCCTAACCATGCTGTTTTATACTTGAGGGAGCAGGTCTGTTCACATCTGTCTCCTGCCACAAGGAATTCTTGTCACCTTAGCCTCAGAAATGTAGCAGCTATCGGTATTCATTTCCTGTCACATTTTCCAGGGTTGGACTGGTCTGAAGACAGTGGAGAAGAACTGGAAGAACTGGAGCAAGCCTCACCATATCAGGTTGCATGGTCTATTCGGGAAGCCCTCAGATATGAAAGGAATGAGTAAGTACAAAATAGGGGCTACAGTCGTCAAGCAGTTTTTCAGACTGTTTTGGAAGCCATTGCACTGTATTACCTGTGGGGAGTGGAGGCACTTCTGAGAAGGGTGTTCATATAGACTTGGAGAAGCCTGACCAGGGTATTCACGTTAGTCCTGCTTCTGCAAAGCACTAGCTTTAGTCTTGATTTTCAAAATGTTTGTCTTTGTTCAGAAAGGCATCAAATACAGGCTTGAAAACATTGTTCAAATCTCCAGTAGCTGGCGAAGTCTCATGTTTCATTACCCACTGACTTGGTTTGCCAAAACTGAAATAAGCATCTGTAAGACTGAAAGTTAGGGCAGAATCAAAATACCGAAACTTGGCTCATAATCTTCTTCTTTCTTCTCTCTGGTAGTGGTTGTTGTGATCTCTTCCTACCTTAAGAACGTAGGCACAATCTTAGGAGCTGTTGCAGTGACAAAACTGCAGGGGTTCAGGCATAAAGGCTGCCATGTTGCATGATGTCACAAGCTGGTGGTGTCACACTAGTACAATCATTTGCCCACTGCAGCCATTTGTCATAAGACTGCTACACTTGGAATAGCAGTTGCCATTGCATGTCCCATAGAAGTGTTGTGCTGAGCTACTGCCTTTTACTGAAGTGGGCAAGCAAGAAGTTGGGAAGATTTTAAGATGTTAGATTAGAGGGTGGGAAGATGCTAGGTTTCTTCCACTAGTGGGGACATAACCTTTGTGATATTTTGAGCAGAAAGCCACCGATGTGGATACTCCTGAAACAGTGCAGATGGAAGTTACTGTGAAAGGACCCTCTGTTTTTAAAAATAGATTTCTATATGACCAGTAAATCCAGTAATTCCCAGGGTGACTTATAATGAAATCATCAAGGCTAGGATCTTAAGTTTTGAGAATTCCACTCATGAGATAATCCTGGCAGAAGTGGAGCCAATTTTTTAAAAATCCTCTTTCAGCACCCTGAACATCCATTCCAGAGCATTGGCTGGTCCTCTGGAACAACATGGAGGGCAATGCAGGGAGCTTCAGGGGGTATAACCATGTTTGTTCTGGATCCTTGTCCCTCTTGGCTAGTAACAGCTAGCAGGAAGGGAACAACTGGCTGGGCTGGGGCGGTGATTAATGCTTCATACTGAGAGGGAGCAGTCCCATGCTACCTGAAGAAGGGGGTGGTGAGAGCCCTCATGAAGAAACCCTCAGTTGACCCAGAAGATCTCAATAATTTTAGGTTGGTGGCAAATATCCCCTTCCTGGGCAAGATTCTTGAGCAGCTGGTAGCCTGCCAACCCCAGGCACACTTTGGTGAGACTGATTATTTAGATGCATTTCAGTCAGAGTCCAGGCCAGATTTTGGTACAGAAACAGCTTTGGTTGCCCTGTTTTATGACCTATGTTGGGAAAAAGACAGGGGAAGTGTGACCCTGTGGTCTTCTTGGGTCTCTTGCTGGCTTTCAGTGGTATCCCTCTGGGGTAGCTAGGTAAATAGGGAGAAGGGTAGACTACATTGCAGTGGTTCTGCTCCTGCTTGGATGGCTGATTAGCTCCAGAAAGTGGTGCTTGGCTCCTTGGACTTTTCATTATGGTGTTCATTAGAGGTTGGTCTTGCTCCCCATGCTATTCAACATTTGCATCAAACTGCTGATTGGGAGTTTTGAAGTTGTGTCACAATTAGTCTGCTGATGACATGCAATACTATTTCTCCTCTTCCTCAGCTGAATTGTCCCAGCAGAACCCCTACCTGGACAGTAATAGTCTGATTTCAGTACTCCATGGTAACTTCTTAATTAAAGGTTTCGGCGAATGGGGCGGCATAGAAACCTTCTAAATAAAATAAAATGAAATAAAATAAAATAAAATAAAATAAAATATTTACTGCAGTTTACTCTATGTAGAACTGCCCTTGAAGACTTTTTAAAAAATGCAACTTGTGCAAAACGTAGCAGCCAGATTGGGACCAGGTGGTCCAGACACATAACACCAATTCTGGTCTACTTGCAGTGGCTGCCTATGTGCTTTCAAGCCCAATTCAAGGTGGGCCTGAATTCAGGTTTTAAACTATAAAGACCTACATAACTTAGGACTACAGTACTTGACAGAACACCTCTCCCACCTGTTATCTACCTGAATCCTACAATCAAGATTTGGGGCCTGACTCCATTTGCCACCTCCAAGGAAGGCTCAGCTGGTGGCAACTGCCTTCTCAGTGGCAGTCCCCATTATGGAATAGGCTCCCCACTGAGATATGCCTGGAACCAGCTTTACTACCTTTTTGGCATCAGGTTAAGATAGGGCGTTTCATCACCTTTAGTATTATCTTGGGGCATTATGTCAGCTGCTTTGCAGGTCTTTTGATTTCATTTGTGTTAACTATTGTAGCTTTTAAAATTTAGTTTCAAATATGGCCATTAAATTTTGTACTTTACTTTCATGATGTTTTCACTGTATTTTTATTGAATTTTATGTGCTGTAAACTTCCTAGAGATCTTTTGCCTATTGGGTGGTAAAGAAATCATCACCATCACCACTACCACCACCATCATCAAATGTCTCCATTCCACTGCCCCTTTCCACCAGCAATGCTCCCATGGAATCAGAGAGCCTTTCATGAATATAAAGGGTGTCTTTGTTTGCAGAAATGCTTTTGAGCATCACCAGGCCAAAGATGGTTACTAGTTCAGTAAAACTTCCCAAACAACAGATCAGTCAAGTAAAAGAGGCAATAAAACCAGATGGTAAAACTTTTCCAGTAGTAAAAGTCAAGGGGGGAAATGGTCTTTGCCTGGTGCTGAAAAGGCATTAACATAGATACCAGATGAGCTTCTGAAAGGAGCAAATTCCCTGCACGGGGTGCTCTAACAGACACTTCTCCGTGGGTACCCACCTTATCTTCAGTTAATGGGGGTGCCAAAAACTTTTGCAGCACATGTATAAGCTATGTAGAAACAGATGTTCCTGCATGACTTAAGCTGTATACAGAAGAATTTAGTGATATTTATGCAATATTTAGTGATATTTATGCAATATTTAGTGATATTTATGCAAATAATTACATACTTATGTAATAATGATAATACTGTGTTTGAATGCTACTGATTTTATTGACTGTTTTCATTCCCCATCCCAATTCCACAGGCCAGTTGATGATGATGCCAGTGGCAGGAGTTCCCGCATTTCCCAACTTTGCACTTACTTTCAGCAGAAATACAAGCACCTCTGCCGCCTGGAGCGGGCAGAATCTCATCAAAGGAAATGCCAGCATACATTCCGGAAAGCATTGCTGCGGGCAGCCAGCAGAGAGCCGGAGTGTGCAGGGCAGCTGATACGAGAACTTCGAAGAGCATCATACACTCGGGCCAGGTGAGGTACCCCCCTCCCACTAATGCAGTCAAACTGATGGGCCTTAAAAGCAATTATATATTTTTATACATGCACACCCCTTTCCCCTGTCCCTTCTGTGGACCTTTGGTCTTTGTAGGACCAATGTTTAAGAACCCACATGTTCTAGCATACCATAATCTGTCGTGATCCAACAATTAATTTTCAAAAACATGATAATTAGAAGCACTGGTTTTCTATATACTAAGTTTTTCCCCCTAGCTCTTATTTCAGTGCACTGTTACTAATGTCAGCATAGGAACATAGGACGCTTTCTTGTATGGAGTCACATCCCTTGGTCTATCCAGCCCAGTATTGTTGGGCACTGACTGGCAGTGGCTGTCTGGGATTTCAGGCAGGGGGTTTCCCAGCGTGTAAAGGCACACATCTTCATTCCAGTGACAGTTTTATATTGAAATGGTTTTATATTACATAAAGGAATTGCCATCACACAGTGGTTGTTTTAACAGTTTCAAACAAGAAGGCCTGTAACTCAAGAACAGAGCACCTGTTTTGGGCACAAAAGGCCCCAGGGTCATTAATTGGCAGAAGCAGTTCAACAGATCTTAAGCAGTAGGTTTTGAAAAACCCCACTTGCTATACTGCAGAGCTGCTGTCTGTGCTCAGTCAGTGCCTTGTGCCAAAGCAGGAGCTGGAATAGGTGCTGATGCAGAGCATAGGGGCTAGAGCTGGGCAGAGGTGCTCAATAGGGAGTCATTACCCTAGCAAGACCCCCGGGTAGACAGAGAGGCTCATATCTTTATCATCAGCCCCTCCATGCTCTCGTGAGTTGCTGGGTCATTGCTTGCAACTGCTTCTTTCCTTTCTGGCTCTTCCTCCTTCCTGAAGAGTTCAGCTTAACCTGCAGGAGGCCTGCTTCTCATGCGTGTGGGAAAGGGCTTTCCATTTAATTGCTTCAGACCCTGCAACTCACTCTCTCTGCAGCTGCAACTGGATCCCATACTTTCTTCCACTTGGTTTTTCAAGTTGTTGTAAGTTTTAATGTGGTTTTACATGTTTTTAGACTTTGTATGTGAAGGTTTCCTTTATGTTTGAATTTTTTGTAAACTGCTTTAATTGGGTCTCAGAAAAGCTGTACACACATTCTATAAAATAAATGTCACCATTTGCCATGTAATGGTGTAAAAATTGATGCTGCACATTTCAATCCATTTACTCATGACAGGGCAAGACTTGGATGCTTACTCCCTAAAAGAGCCTTCCAAGCTAGCCACATATGAATTACGTTACAGTTGCCTCATCTGGATGCTTCCAGGCATGGATAACTGTTTCCAGGCTATTTCCCTGCAGGAGAAGCTGCAGCTGCTCACTGGCCTCAACTGGTTAAAAGCACTCAAGGCCATCATCGCCAGTATTTGGGGCTCCGCTGTACTTAGGAGTATCCCACGCTACACACCTGATCCTTCCCATTTCTGTTGTGCCTTCTTTGGCTCTCCCTCTCCCCTACTTGCCAGCATGTACAACTGACAAGTGCTCCTTGGCAAGTGATAGAGTCTTGTCTTCTCAGTTTTTCATCTGTTGCCTGCTCCACTTAGCCCTCCCTTTGACAGTGGAGACACACAAGAAAATGGACCAGGCAAGACTGGTGAAAGACTGTCCGAAAAAATTGCAAACACCGTTGCACAGGTTTTTTTTTTCCTGGGGGTGCTGAAGAAAAAATAAAATGACAAAAGCAAAATGACAATTGCTTTTTTGAGGCTCCACTTAAGAAAAGGCAGTGAGCAAAAAGGGACAGTGATTGGAGTGAGGAGATAAAGACAAGATAGATTCTGCCACCATGAACACTTGATTATGTGCTGCTGCTGGCTGGAGGACTGAGGGAAGACAGTCACACTAACCCACTGTGGCTTATTTCCAGGGTGTCTTAGTGTCACATGAAAATCTGCCCTTTATCTGTTTAAACGGGCTGCCAAGGTCTACCAAATGGGGATGGATTCCACCATTATTGCCTATCTGTGAACTTTTTTGCAGCGTGTGCGCCAGGGCTCCTCCAGAATACTGAGCTAGGCATGAGCTGTTGGCCTCCTGCCTATCACATCAGTACTTAACTTCCTAATTACTTTTTATTTTAGCACAAGCCAAGTGAAGCAGAGGGATGCATCACCTTGTAATGGAACAACGAAGGGTGAACCATGCCCCAACAAGGCTCTACCATTCACCAAACATTGTTTTCAACGTATCTTTTTCACTGTGTTCCTGTTCATGTCATAGGTGAGAAAATGTAATTAAATTCTCTGACCACCTTCCATTTCCAGTGACTATTGCCAAGAGACTCCTGCCAGTTTCTCTAAATCCAGTTTGTTTGCACCTTTCCCGCTTTGATCTGGTTTGCACATAATGGATGGGCTGACATGTTGCTTCTGTTTTATTGTTCCACCCACAGTTGGTGCCTCTGTGAATTGTGCAGTGTGATGTGAAAACCCAGAGCTCTGGATTGTTTATGGGCTAAACCACACAGTGGTTGTAACTGCGCTAACCATGGAGTAATTTAGTCCTTTTAAGTCCTTAGTCCTTAAAGAAGGTGCAACTAGTCCTGATTCACATGTCATGCTGCACAGTCTGTGAAGGAACTGATCATGTTTCTGTAGTAAAGGGAAGCAGCAGTCATACGCCTTCTTTGTGGGACCTCCCTTCAGTTTTTAAACCAGTGGTTTATCATTACATGTGAACAGGGCCATTGTGCAGCAGGAGGCCTGGGTGAACTTTCAGCCTAGCCCTTGCATACTTCTCATAATCCTCATCTTATAAATCATGCTCCTGTTAGGTATGCTTCTTTGCATCACAACTTGTGCTTTCTTGCTTAGAGACATTCAAGGCAGCATCATTCTATCTGTTCCAAATACAATGGTACCTCGGCTCACAAACGTCTTGGTTCACAAACAAATTGGGTCACAAACAAAAATTTCTGAAAATTTTGACTTGGGTCGCGAACACCGCTTTGGGTGGTGACCAAGATTGCAGCCATCTCCCCCCCCGCCCAAGTGGGGAGATGGCCACGATCGCAGTTCGCGGGGGAGATAGTCGAGATTCCGCCTGTCTTTCCTGCAGGAGCGCGCCTCTGATCAGGCATGCTTTCCCTGCATGAACAGAACTGCGATCATGGCCATCTCCCCACCCCCCAACCAGCATGATCACAGCCATCTCCCCACCCCACCACTGAGTGCTGAGATGGCTGCGATCGTGCTGGGGGTGGTGGGGGGAGATGGCTGAGATCGCACCCATCTCTCCCTCCCCCAGTGCACCGTTTGCGCCCGTCTCTTCCTCCCCCAGTGTGCCCATGACCACGCCCATCTCTCCCCCCCACCCCCCAGCGCGCCGAGATGATGGGCGCGTGCCGGGATGATGGGTGCCTGCAGGGATGATAGGCATGTGCAGAGATGACAGGCGCGATCTCGGTCGTGCTGGGCGGGGGCGGGGAGATGGCCACGCTTGTGCTTGGAGTGCAGGGTGGGGAGATGGCCGTGATCTTTGTTGTTGTCTCTTTGCTTCACATTTTTCTGATTTAAAAAATGGTTACAGAATGGATTAACCTTATTTGCATTGACCCTTATGGGGAAATTTAACTTGGCTCATGACCAATTTGAATCACGACCAGAGTCCTGGAATGGATTAAGTTCGTGAGCCAAGGTACCACTGTATGTAGACTTGATGGGGATGAGTTCAGGAAAAGTTACAGTGGATAACACATGGACATTAAGGATGTGCATGGATTCTGTGAGTTAAATTGGTTCTGGGTGTCCATAAAACCTCCAAACTCAGGGCGCACAGAAGGTAGCTTCCATGCTCCTTTCATACAACTTAGATGGCTGAGGTGCTTTGTAGCTGCAGGGAAGGAGGTGCTGCCGCCTCCCAAACCCCTTCTCTGAGGTTGCTCTTACGAACTGGAAGAAGTAACCAGGGCAGTTCTTTCTGTGCGAGCTGCAAGGGGCATTGGAGGTTGGAGTTGTTTGCTGTCCTTGGAGTTGGGTCCCTGAACAATCCTGCTGCCCTCTAGATGCTTTCTGGGAGCCAATGAATTGCTGTGTTAATAAACAAATATCATGCACATGAACAGTGCCAAACCTGACCCACCACTGAAAGATATGGACAGTTTCATATCCACAGGTAGGTTGCTATTAGTGAGTCCTGGTTTTCGGGCAACAGTGGCTTGAGGAGCTAGGCTCTTGCCCTGCTTAGTGCACTGAAAGACCAAGTACAGGGTTCATCTGTCCTCTAGGTTTAAAGTTTCCAGCCTGTTTTTTCTAATGTTGCTTTGAAAGAGGTCAGGTTTTGATGTGGCCCAGTCTCCCCTTTTCTACTCTGGTAGATGGGATCACCCAAGGTAGGAGATGACTGTTACCTATAAATACTGGGAATGCTTGGATATTAGGGGATTTGCACAGAACTTCAAAACAACCTTCAAATTACAGGCTGGTAAGAGAGAGTTGGGGGAATCCTTATGCAGTTGTTGCACCCTGAGGCAACAGAGGGACCCAGAAACGAAGGCAGAATCTGTCAGTAAGTGGGGTGCAGGACCTGTTTAGGACCTAGTTAGCATATGAACATGTCTTTTGTTCAGGTTACTGACATCTATTCAGATCTGCATGGTTAGCAGTATTGTACACCTCTAAAGTGGAGGAACAAACAGCTCTGTAAAGATGATCCTTTGTCAGTTGTTCAACTAAAGCGCCCAGCTGGCCTTGTCTCTGTGAAGCTGGCTAGTTGGATTCCACAGAAAATCTGAATTATCTCATAACTTAAACTGCTTTCATGGGTGTAAGCAGGATATACAGACCTGGAGAATGTGAGGCGGTAAAATGGTGTATAATGAGCCAGAGATGAGAGAAGTATAAGCCTGTAGTATCAACAGAAGAGGCAGAGACCAAGGAGAATGGAAGTCGTTGGATTAGAAAACCTGTACAAAGCAGGAGCCTGGACATGAGTGTATGCAATTGCGGCCACAAAGAAAGGGAGAGGAAAGAATTCCCAATTGTTCAAAATAGTCTTATCTCTTTCCAGCTCTTCTCCTCCATCCCCCTGCTCCCCACACACACACTTACTTTATGAATTCACTTGAGTTTCTCTGGCTACTTCTGCTAACATTCCCTAACCACAAGCTTAGCTGTAATTCTGCAGTCACTTTAGGCAGTGAAGAACTGAAAATGATACTGGGAACAATGAAGACAAGAATGGTTAAGGACAGACAGGGCCTTGTAGATTTGATGAGGACAAATACTTCAAAGTATTTGAAAGGAAATGGCACATTGAAATGTTGTCAAACTGTTGAAAAGCAATTAAAATTGGGTTTCAGCATGACTGTTTGTAGCCTAGATTTGGCCAGTTAGATAGCTTGGTGGATGAATTTACATATCCCCCCCACAGAATTACCTCAAGCGCCAGACAAGGCTGCTGAGTCAACAATGAGGAAGTGCTTTTTCTATGAACCAGCAACTCTGCATAGGGGCTCCGGACCTGTGGCCCTCCAGATGTTGTGACCTACATCTGGCATGAACCCTCACCATGAGCCCTGGCTAGGACTGATGGGGCTTCTGGAGGGCCACTCTGTCAACAGTGCTGCCATGCTTTGTGTGAGCACAGTAGTCCTTGTCTGAGCAGCCAGGGAGATGCCACAGGGGTTCCATCTGAAATCCCTGCCCTGTGTTCATGACATCAAGGCATCCTCAAACAGACCGGTTGCACATTCTGGCACACTGCCTCTTTGTTGCCTGAAATAATGGCTATACCACTGTTCTCTGGGCTATTTGTCAAAGAGGTGAAGTCTTGAAAATCCAGGGAATTATTTTGTGGCACCTTAAAACCTAACAAAAGTTTTGGTGACCTATAGCCTGCTTCATCAGGCACATGGAGGTCTTATGTGAATGGGCATTGGGTGAATGAGAAGAATGGCAATCACTGAGGTTAAAGGAAATAAAATGCCAAAAATACTGAGTGACAATCACATTTAATAATGTGCTTATTATTATTTACTCTTAATAATGTGATTATTAATAATTACTCTTAATAATTTATTCATAATGCAGCTCTTGCTGACTGGTGTGCCAAGTAACACAGAAGCAACTTTTATCCAGATTCAGACCTCTAGTGAAAGAATTAAACCTGTTGGTGAATTCTAGCTTGGCAGTCCCTTGCTCTGATCTCCCCGCGGCATTTCTGAGCTCCACACTGGCCACTGTCAGGTCAGTGACAGAGTGTCCTGGGAGGTTGACATAGTTTTTTGGCATTCCCATTTTTGATGTCACAGTTGTGTCTGTTCGTTCTTTTCTATAGAAATTGGCCTCTTTGCTCTGTATAGAAGGCAGACGGGCATGTTTGACAGAAGATGGCATGCAGTGCAGTGGAGGGTGAACAAACGAATGGCCTTCTAACGATGTGGGTGGCATCAGTGGGTTCTGCAATAGGGTTTCCTTGTTTGGCCCTTTCAGGGAAAAGTAAATACAAGAACAAAGCAGGTGAAGAAGCGTTTCAGGGAAAAGCAAAATGTAAATGACCCCATAGAAAAAATAGGCTGCTGCCAGTTTTGGAGGTGGGGAATTGAATTAGTTAGCAAGACATTAAAGATGCCCCATTTATGTAGCTTTTCTAAACAATATAATCTCAAATTCAGGATCCAGTTTATTGACTTCCTGTGTGCATCATCTTTCATGCAGGCAAGGAGATTTTACATTTTTTAATATCTTCCTATATGTGGATGACAAATCCTCTTTTTAATATTTGAATATGGATTGTCATTACTTGGCTAGAAAGCAAACATATTGATTGCATTGCATCCCCAGAAATGACAATATTGATTAAGAATCTCCTGGAAATAGACACATGAACTCATTAGCTAAATATCTACTTCAGTAAGTTCATCTTAATAAATTACAAAGTCACAAGCCGTTCTACTTGATGACAGTTTTCAGCTTTAACTTTTGACTTTGCATGGCCTATTACTTGAAACATTTCTTACATTTCATGAAACTAGTTAAAAGTTAGATCTAAGTTGGAAACAGAACTTAAGGGACTGTATTGTTTTCTCTTCTGAAAATAAAATAGTTTTCTCCTCTAGTCTTGCATGTTATTCCTGACACAAAGCTATGTAGATATCCTCTTGAACCGGTCACAGCAGCTTTTCTCAAGCTGCACAGCCAAGTTTGCTGATGGACAGCAATGCTCCGTGCCAGTTTTCGACATTACGCATCAGACACCTCTGTGTGAAGAACACGCCAAAAAAATGGTAAGCATATTTGATTGCCAAACTTTTTGAAGAATTCATGCCCAACAACATTACTGGGGTATATGCTGAGTGGAAACCAAGTCCAAAACTATGTGCAAGAAGAGGAAGCAAATAAAATTCTTGCTCATATGCTTTCCAGTCTTAGGCTTGCCAAGTGGTCCACTAGTACTTGCACAGCAGGAAGAGACAATTCCACTCTGCTAGTGCAGCAGTGAGTTTAGGCCATTATTTCCAGGAAAGCACAGATTTAACACTGCAGTACAGTGTGTTCCACTTTCATACATCTCTTCTGAAGGTTGTAATTTGTGCTTTGAGCAGGACCATCATGTCCCTTCCATCAGTAATGATTTAAAAAGCCTTATTTATTTATTTATTTATTTATTTATTTATTTATTTATTTATTTATTTAGAAAATTTCTATGCCGCCCCATTTGCCAAAGCCTCGGGGTGGCTCACAAAACATCAATTAAAATATAATACATTAAAAATATAAAACGAATTAACAATATAAAATAAGTCACCCTGGCCAAAGAATAAAATAAGGAAATAATATTAGCAATTAAAATGACTTTTGAATAAAAAGGTCTTCGCCTGGCGCCAATAAACAAATAACGACCATAGATTGGGCGCCACCGCAGAGAAAGCCCTCCTCCGAGTACCTACCCTCCTAATTTCCTTCACGGAGGGTTCCCGGAGAAGGGCCTCTCCCGCAGATCTCAGGGGGCGGGTGGGCGGGCGTATATGGACATATATCAACCTCAGCTACCTTAAAAGATTACTCTGTGAGGGTCGGGGCACTTCAGAACTCCTTCCTAATTTGATCCAGGAATGCTGATTGGGAGCTGAGTCTGACTGCCAAGTATCAGCCTAACAATGATTGCTGCCCTCTTTGTGACTTTCCAATTTGTCTGCCTATTTTCTCATCATTGTTTAGTCTTCCCAAACCTGGTGCCCTGCAGATGTTTTCAACTTAACTCCTATTGGTTGAGCCAACACAGTCAATAGTCAGAAATTCTGGGAGTTATAGTCTAAGATATCTGGAGGCCTCCAGGTTAGAGAAGCCTTCCTTAAGCCTAATTTCACAGGCTTTTATACAGGTAAGCCACATTTAGGTGGACAAAGCATGCTCTGTTGTTTCACACAGTTTATAAATGTTGCTGCCGTTTGTGGTAGTCAGTGAAACACAAGCTCTTACAATTAACTAATTCTGCCTCTCAGGGACTTGAAGCCTGTTCCCAGCCTTTCCCCTTAGGGCCTACTAAAGTAATGTATCATAGTCCTCACCCTAGAGTCAACATCTGGCTGATTCCAAGGTTGCATCAATGATTTATTTGTCATTGGTTAATTCCTTGCTTAGTACCATGCAGCCCATTTTTTGGCTGTCCTAAACCAATTCCAAAAACAGTCTTTTTGATCACAGTGGTTTATTCAACTTTTGTAACAATAAGAGAGACATCATATGCACAAAATACGGTCTGCACACCATCCACCATAGGAGAGCAAGCGAGAATGTGACTTGCTGAGTTTTAAGATGAGGCTTTCAAGTTAGCAGGTGTTCTGTTTTGCTTTTCATGACATAGACATGGTTTTGAATGGCAAGAGAATACAAAGGGGCTTGCCATTCATGTGTTCTTTCTGTTCACATTCTGAAAGGATAACTTCTTGAGAGGAGACAGTTCTCGTAAAGTTCAGCACCAACAGCAGAGGAAACCCAGGAAAAAAACAAAGCCACCTGCGCTTACCAAAAAACACAAGAAGAAGAGAAGGCGAGGGCCACGACGACCCCAAAAACCAATTCCTCCTGCTGTGCCCCAAGGAAACCTCAGTATGCCCACCAGCGTCTCACTGCCAATGGAGATATCCCATTTACGGTCAGTGCTCAGCATTCTTAATGTTTAGGATGACTTAATGAAGATGGACAGATGAGGAAGCATATTTTATGAGAAGCAGAATAAATGAGAAATAGGATAACCAAGTTTGAAATTCTGTGCCCACATACGTGGGAGTAAGTTGAGTTGTATACATGGGGGTTTACGTCTGCATAAATATGCATAGGGACAGGCTGTGAATTGACTTTAACATACGTATGGGTGAAGGATAGCAATGAGAGAGGGAAAGGGTTGTAGGCAGCGGTTTCGTGCACTTGCAGTGTGATACTCACTCTTACTCCTGTGCTTTGCTGCCTGGCCAGGTCCCTAGAGTGCCTTTATCATGCTAACTTGGAGGCAGTTGTGGCCAGTCTTTATGACCCAACATTGCACTGCTGCTCTTGTAAAGTTATTTTCATACACTATAGCTCTTTCCTTCCTTAATAAATTGCTCTACCAGGAAGGTGGGCTTTTATTGTGGCTTTGTACATTTAATGCCTTTCCTACATCCAAATGTATTAAAAAAGGTATTTATATGGTTGATGCATATCTTACCAATAGAGTCTGTAAGGTAAATTTGTATGAGATGTAACACTACTTATTGGCTCCTTTTAGTAATATAATAAGCCAATCTTAATAGCGGCTGAGTTGGCTTCTTCTCTTACTTCTGTGCTGAGCATTTTCACAGTAGTTCAGCAGGCACCTTGTGCACCAACTCTCATGCAGCACTGGAGGTAGAAAAGTGGCACAATTGTTGCGGGCCTCGCTGCATGGGTCCTGGTTATGTGGACCACACATCACCTGCCAAGAAAAGTTCCTAGTGATGAGGGACTGCCGTACCTGCAGGTGCAGGAGGCTTTCTCCACAGTGGCTCCATGATTCCATAAATACAGACTGCCTGGGCCGGAGAGAACTCTTCAAGCATTGGAATGAGAGAGGGTGTGTACACAGATCTCTCGCAGTAGATCGATGGCAAGCAGCCAGGTATGGTGCTGAAGCTAAGGGGGTGACTGGCTGCCCTGTCTTCTTAGGAGCCCTTCCACACCAGAGCTGAGTACAGATGAGCTGCCAGATGACATCGCCAATGAAATCACAGACATTCCACACGACCTTGAACTGAATCAGGAGGACTTCTCTGATGTCCTTCCGCGGCTGCCTGATGACTTGCAAGACTTTGATTTCTTTGAAGGTACCACTTCACTCTGGTTTTATTTAAACATCCATGCTGATGGGAAAGAGCAGTTGAAATACAGCTGCAGGATTATGGGGTGCTCTCTATGCATTTTTGGAAGTTGCTTAATATTTCAGATATTAAAAAAGCAAGTGCTGAATTTTGAGGATGGAAAAGTGGTATCTTAGGCATCAAGATCTAAAGTATATATTTGTGAATGGAGAGAAATCCAGCACAAAATTCTGTGATTATTGCATGATTGTATACCCTTAATGCTTTTATTTTCTGTCCCTCAAAGCAATAAGTTATTTTCTTTGCATTGTAAAATGTAGCCTTTTAATATTTTATGTAAGTTTAGGAATGCAAATTTTTACGAATGATAAGGAATGTTGATCAATGTAAACATGGTGCGGCTTTTAAGTTTTGACTTTGTTTCTCTATCTGAAGTAGAGGTTTATTCTTATTTTCAACCTATACCAACAAGTTGAATGATGTGAATTTAAAGGGAACTTTTAAACAAAAGTGTTAAAAGAAAGAAAAGTTATGGCCAAGTGGTTAAGAGTGCAGGACTGAGACTCGGATCTGGGTTCTAGTCACCACTCAACCATTGAGCTCACTGAGAGACTTTGGGCCAGTCACAGACTCTCAGCCCAACCTGCCTCACAGGACTGCTGTTGTGAGAATGATTGAGAGGAGGGGGAGAATTATGTGAGTCACCTTGAGTTCCCTTGAAAGGAAAAACATAGGACATACATACATACATACATAGCTACGCACTGAAAGGGACTGCCACCTCTGTAATGGGAAGGACAGCTTTTGAAGGAAAGATACAGAGAACTCTTAATTAGAAGAGACCAAGCTTCTTGCACCATGACCGAAGAGCCAGATTACTCTGCTGCCTAAAAACAGAGTCATTCCGTGTTGCAGTGCCTGGGTACAGGAAGGATTGGCCTTACCCATGTGGCTCTCTCTGCATATTGAGATTTTCCTCTGGATCCTTCTCCACATGCCCCCTTCCCCACCTTCTGAACTGAGGTGGGAGGCAACAAGGGGTAGGGACTTTTTGGCTGTAGTGCCACATCTTTGGAATTCTTTCCAAGGGAAGGCCCACACTTGGGGCTGCCTTCTCTAGCATTTTTGTGTCAGGTGAAGAGTTTGTTCATTTTTCCAGGCCTTTTTAATGCTGTTTTAAGATGCCTCTCTATGCCCTATCCCATTGCCATGCTGTAGTTGATTAAAGGCTTTATTCTGTTTGTATTTTTAGTGTATTTTGTTTGTTTAATTTGTATTTTTTTAGTATTGGTTGCTCAGAAAACAATATTGAAGAACAGGACAGAAAAGTACTAAATAAGTAAATAAAATCTGGGAGAGAGAAATACAGACAGCGTACAGTTCTGGAAACAGCGGTGCATCAACTGGATCTCTCTCTGACCCATTTATGTGTCTACATCTTTCCCACCCTGGGAATATCTTGCGTGAATGTGGCAATATAATTAGGGTGCTGTATGGGAATCAACGTTAAAAGAGAATGACATGCCTTTCCTTGTCATCAATGTTATGCCCATATCATTGAGTTTAGCATTGGGTTTCATTTCATTTACTTTTGCTCTTTTATGCACATTGCACACCACTCAGTCAATGAAATTAATAGACCCATTCTGTCCTATCCCAGGGCTAGAATTTCACTGAGCCCAGTGCATGTCAATCCTAACCATGTGACCATGTCTTTTGATTTTGTGATGTGCAGATCATGCTTTTGGTGCATACATGCATTGGGCTTTATATGTGTAGCCCTCACATTAATGTACCTGGCCATGTAGAATTGTCAGTGGAGCAAGTACTCTTGGACAGTGGCGTGGGGTGTAGCAGATGCCAAAATCTTAATGCTGTTATTTTTTAAACAAGTCCTTTGCTGGTGGCTTTGACTTCCTTCTTCATTCTGTATCTTAAATCTGGCACTGTTATCCTTTGTTACAAACTGTGGCTTGGATGGTACATATCTACAGAATCTTACTATGTAGCATGTTGTTATGTGTTTATATACTGCACATTCCAAATTCTAAGAAACCTCAGTTCTTAGGTTAGCAAATTCTGAGGCAGATTTTTGTATTCTATGATTGTCCATGAATCCTGTGGAATACATATGGACCTGACTAGGAATGTTCACAGGACTGTTGGTCAGTTCTTAGAAAACACACTTTCTATTTGAATTTAAGGATAAAAGCATGTCACCCAGTATTAGTGACTCGACACAGTGGTGGCAAAACAGCTGCCCAGCAGTTTTGCTTTAAAGGAGTGGGGATGGGGGCAGACAAGAGGCTAGGGGGAGCATGCAGCCTGTAGGCTGTGTATTGCTCATCTCTGACACAGAAGAATGAATTAGGGCCAGGCTAGACCTTACACCAAATAGCTGTTGCATGGATACTTTTTAAAATGTGTATAGATCCCTAGAAGGTGGGAGGGGATTTTAACCATTCTTCCCCTTGCTGAGGTCCCACCATTGCATGCGAAAGGGAGCTCCTGTAGCACAGATTACAGCTTTCCTCCTGACACAAATAACTGGTGCGGGTATTCCTGCAATTACAGTTAGGAAACCCATCATGCTATCAGCAATTTGAGCTGAATGACTAGTTGAACTTTAAGCCTCTAGTGCATTCAACCCCTTTGGCAGCTTGTCTTGGAGGTCCTGTTTGTCAAATGCATACATCAGTGGCATTTGGATTAATTTCTTCTCAATCCTTAATGCAGGTAAAAATGGAGACCTCCTCCCTACCACCGAAGAGGCAGAAGAGCTGGAGCGAGCCCTGCAGGCTGTCACATCTCTTGAGTGCCTGAGCACTATTGGAGTGCTCACCCAGACAGACGGTGTGCCCGTCCAGGAGCTGTCGGACAGAGGCATAGGGGTGTTTTCCACAGGTGCTGAAACTTCAGGAATTCAATCCTTGAGCCGGGAAGTCAATGCCGATCTAGGTGAGCTGCTGAATGGGCGTATAGTGCACGATGACAATTTCTCTAGCCTGGACCTGGATGATAGCTTGCTCCGTTCTGCTACCTTATCCAACCCACCTACGCCCCTGGCAGGGCAGATTCAGGGGCAATTCTCCGCCCCAGCCAACGTTGGCCTTACTTCTGCCACTCTGATGAGCCAGAGTGGGCTTGGGGAGAGAGCCTTCCCAGGACAGTTCCAAGGACTTCATGATGGCAGCCATGCCTCCCAGAGGCCACACCCTGCCCAGCTGCTCAGCAAGGCAGACGACCTGATCACCTCACGACAGCAATACAGCAGTGACCATTCACACTCCTCACCCCATGGAAGCCATTACGACAGCGAGCATGTGCCCTCGCCCTACAGTGACCATATGACGTCCCCCCATGCCACCCCCTACTCTGGCGATACCTTGGCAGCTACCTTCTCCACAGAGATGCCCATCATAGCACAGCATTTGCTCCCGCCGCAACTGGAAGTGCCGCTCAGTGGGGTGGTGAATCCCAGAACTCACTGGGGGAACCTCCCTGTCAACCTGGGCGACCCTTCCCCGTTCAGCAACCTGCTTGGCGCAGATGGACATCTCCTTTCCACCTCCCTGTCCACGCCGCCTACCACGTCGCACTCGGAGACCACACAGCCTGCCTTCGCCACCGTGACCCCCAACAGCTCCAGCGTGCTCCCGGGGTTACCCCAGACCAGCTTCAGTGGCATGGGTGCGGCATCCTCTGAACTCATCGCCTCCACATCTCCCAAGCAGCAGCTCCCGCAGTTCAGTGCGGCCTTTGGCCACCAGCTCAGCTCCCACAGCGGCATTCCCAAGGACCTGCAGCCCAGCCACAGCTCCATCGCTCCCCCCACAGGCTTCACAGTCACAGGTGCCACAGCTACAAGTACCAATAATGTATCTGCTCCCTTCACCACCTCCAGCTGAGCTTAACTGCCTGTGAATTTCAGGCAGTGGGGGATCGTGTGCCCCTTTGCCCCGCCCACCTGCCCTCCCTCCATCTTCTCTCTTCCTGGTTTTGGCATCCCCTTCTTCTTAAATACGTTTTTAAAAATAAAACAACAACAACAACAAAGAGGGGGCAAAAAGTCCTGATTCAGTACAGACCAGGCCTTTCTTGTTGCTAAGCTCTGCTCTAATGATCTTATGTGCTGTTTATGTATTGGTGCTCATTTACTCCTGGCAGGTTTGCTATACCTACCCAATTAATACCCCAGTTAGGGAATATAGCACAGATACTGAATATAACTGACCTTAGACCAAGAAATGAGAAGATGGATGTAATTGACCTTAGAACCAGAAATAAAAAGATACCTCAAATAAATCTAATGCAAGTTCCTAAGGTTCAGATCGGAACTTTCAGGCCTATTAGCATCTCGGGAGAAGGTGGGGAATTGCTTTATTTTTAAGGGTGCGACTGGGATGAAAGGTAGATCAACCTTTTTAATTTGGTAATTGGGCACTGTAGAATTAAGCCAAGGCCATAGTTCAATGTTAATTCTGTCAGCTTAACAGTGGGTTCTTGACCTCCAATGTGAGTGTAGGGATGTGTTTGGCCATGCGTGCGTGCGTGTGTTTTGATGGGTAAATGACAGTTTTTCCCTTCCCTAAGCTGGAAAATCCCTTCTAACCAGTGACTGTTCCTGCTGCATGCTACTTTGTTTTCTGAAATGGGGTTCATGAAATAGAAGGAAGATTGGAATTGATAGGGCAAGTCAGATTGTATTTATTGGCTCAGAGAATACCCACGGTGGGTGTTTGAAAATCTCTAAGTATTGGAATAAATACTTTGTTCATTCAGATAAAATGTTTACAGATTACTAAAAATGATCAATTTACAGCAGTCTTGCAGATAAGCTGGCCTTTACGAATACAGCATTGTCACTGATTTCTCCCGACAGAAACAGATTCCTTAACTGAAAGTGGCAGAACTGCCTTGGACCACTTTTTCCATCCAAACCAATATGAGGACTGCTGGGTGACTTTTACATAGTCGCCACCATCTCCAGATGCAGAAGATTTCTGTAGCACTAGTGGATTCTGGTGCTGCTCCATAACAATTTAGGAATAGTTAGATACCTTTAGAAATTTGTGTGGGAAGCCAGATGTGGGGAAAGAACTAGCATGTGAGCGGCTGGGGTTTTTTGTTTTGTTTTTTAAAGCAGGCATTTTTCTATCTTTTATCAGTGGTCTTGCTAATAAATAATATACACACTTTTCAAAGTCAGAGATTCTATTTGTATTTCTCCATGGTCCTTGAAGAGCTGCAACAATCAAATTGCAAGACATTGTTCAGCAAAAGGGCTATTTCCTCCATGAAATATTATTTATCAAGCAGTCTTCAATTAATGCCACTTCTCCCTCCCGCCCCAAATAAGCCTTGTCCTTCTGGTGATTTTGGTTTTAAAATAATGAAAGTGGATTATACAGTGCATTTTATATTGAAGCCAAATTCTGTTCAGTGGAAATAATCCTTCCTTTTTAGGTTTTTCTTTCTTTCCCCTACTGTCCTGGGCTTGATATAGAAAGAAGGGCCATCTATACTTCAGAGCAGGTTTCATGATATTTTATAGCAACAAGCTTGAGTTGAACATAATTCCATCTGATTTTATAATATGTTGGAAAGATAGAAAGAGAAGGCTCACTCCCATGAATTATTTTCATTGGTTGGAGAGTGGGAACAAAGAGATCCCAAGATTTTCCTTTGTGTCTGAAGCAGTTATTTCTTGCCATGGTTTTTGTACTCTTCTGGTTCTCATGTGAAAAATCTAGCACAGGCCTTTCTGTTCCCACACTTTTACAGAAAAAAGGACTGCAAGAGTTGCCAGCTTATATCCCATTGATTAGAACTATTGCCTTCTTTTAAAGATTGGTGCTGCTTATTACCTTGAAAGAATCAAGTAGTAGGAGCCTGCCCTTTTAAAAAACATGTGTAGATGGAAAGCATTATTATGATTTTAAGCCTGAGAAATTTCCCCCTCCTACCACATTTTGAAATTGAACTGTATAATAAACATCTTTAGTGTCATCATCAGCATTACATTTACAATGTAAATGTTACAAGCTCTTTAAAATGCTGTAGTGAAGTTCCTTCCATCATCTTTATCCTATTGAGTGCAAACTTTATTGTGAAATGAGGTTCCACTGGCAGGATGGAATTCCCCAACCCCTTCCCAAATCCTGGCCCTTGTGCAAAACAGAAAAGTTGATAAATTGCCTTGCTCTCCTATCTGACTCTTCTTTCCACACAATTGGAACAGATAAAGAGCATTAGACCTGGAAGGAAGGTGATTTGGTTTTGATAAACTCTTATTTGTAATTTATAATCATTGTCACTGTTGGCACAATTTTTGTCTGGGTATCTGAAAATGCAACAGAATACCCAGGATCTAAATGCTGCTGCTTTCTGTGTACATGGAAGAGCTTGGCAGCATCCTCCTCCAGCCAAAAAGAAAGCTGTCTCTGAAGATCAGGGTACCCTCCAGGGCAGTATGGTGAGAGGTCGTATTGACAGAAGGGAAATCAGATGAGTTATGAATTCAGATTAACCAGTTGCAAGCATTGTTGCAGCTCTTTGATGTTTCTTCTCAGCTCTGCTCACATTCAGCACAAAGTCCTGCTCTCTTTACTGGACCCAATAACATCACTGTTCTGCTTGTTTCGTGGGGGCTGCTTCTGGTCATCAAATGAATGATGCTTACCTGCATGATCAGAAATGGGCTAGCCTCCCCTCATGTTGTGCTTCTGTACTCCCTGTTTCTCCTGCAACACAGCTGCTAGGAGAAATTAGGGAGCTTTTGCTTCTGTGTCTTATTAACCACAGCATCTTTCGTTGTTTGAACCTAGCAAACTTGTTATTCCTTACCATGGTTTCTTTCAAGCAAGCAACTTCAAACCATGGTTTTATGGAGCTAGCTTCTTTCAACAATCCATAGTTAGAATGTATAGCAGTGTGCTGGGTTCAGAGAAGACAACAGGATGTAGCTAATAAAAAAAGCTTACAAGCTCTTTGCAATCACACCAGAGGAGAAAGGAGAGTACACAGGTCTGCACTGAGGGCTTGATAAACTGTGGCTTAGTGTGATGTCTGGTGGAAAAGCATTTGAGGGTACAGCAGGGATAATGAATGCATTTGGGCAAGCAGTGAGTCAGGTTTCGATTGTATGCAAGTCAGGTGGAATCCCAGTTTTAATCCCTTTTTCTTATGGAAGTGGCATTATTCTAATAAACACGTCATGCAGCAGGTTCTCCTCCTTTGCTGGCTGCTGCTTTCTTGCTACTACTTCTCCCCCACATTCAGAACACTCTTCCTTGTGTAATTTTGAGTGGAGGAAGAGAACTGGCCAACCAGAATTTAGGGCCTTAATGCCATAATCCAGGGTAGGATATTTGATAGCCTCTTGGGAAATCCAGTTCCTGGTTTACATTTTGTTTTAGTTCTTGTCTTTGTGAATTCTTCCCTCCACTTCTCTTGAGATGTTTCTAGTGACTCCCAGTTGTATGACATGAGTTACAGTAATGTGGAACATAAGGTTTCATGCTCGGGCAAGGAAGGTGATATGAGAAGGTAGCATCCTGTGTAAGGTAGGAACGTCCCAGGTGGGGGGAAATTTTGTAAACTTTCAGTGTGTTTAATAACATAGTCTGAAAATAATGCCTTTTTAAAAGTATGATGTGCATATGAACATCCCCGTACTTTATTCCTGGATGTTTACCTGTGGGCTAACTTCCCTCTCATAATCATATATCAATAGTCAAGACACATACTGTCTATATTAGCTAACACTCTATATGATGACAAAAGAATCATATAGATTCAGATTTGCAACTGGTGTCCAGATTTGCAACTGAAAAAAATGATAAACTGACTTTTTAAATTTATGTTGCAAATTGATCTGTGTGGTTCGAGGTTGTTTGTGTTGTTGTTTTGGTTGTGTGCATCTTGGCTTTCCAGTTCTCTAAACTAAGAATGCATGGTAGGAATGCAAAAGAAAGGAGCTTGCTTTGCATTACCACCAGATGGCTGCATTTAGAAAGGTTCCCCTCTCCCCCAAGAGTCTATGAACCGCACACATTCAGTCTTTCCTGGAATGTGAGAAAGCTAGACAGACAAAACTCAGGGCAGAAAGAAGAGAATAAGAAAATAATCCTGTGTAACTCCTTTCTAAGCCCCATTCATCACACATAGATACCTGTACAGAGGCGCACTATGTAAATGTACAAGCTGGTTTTATATGTTGAACTTGGTCTACTGATGTGTCTTCACCCTCTCGGGCCTCATATTAATCCCATTTGTAATGTTTCCAAATCCATGTTGTCAGAAATGCAGTGCAGCTTACTGTTCGACTTCCAGCACTGCTTATATTACAGACTGGGCAGATTTGCTGTGAAACAACTCTTTAATCTCATGTAAAAACAGAATAGAAAACGGATCCATTCTGCAGAGAGGTTGCAATTGGGTTGTTCTATGGAGTGTCTGTGTCCAAGGAGGGGAGTGGAATTGATTTGGAACCAGTTTCTCTAAATGGTGATGATGATCACGGTCCAGTTTTGGGCATGTCTCAGGGATTCCTTATTGAAATGAGGGCAGTTAAGGTAGTTAAACAAGTAATTTTATCGTAGAATGTCATCAAAATGTGAGCACCAGAAAGAGAATGCCCTATTATTTTTTCAGCCTGTAAAGGTATGTCTATTATTCTCTTTTAGAACCTGTGCTCAAGTCCAGCGTACAAACTGTTTTTCCTCCATCATGCTCAGCTTTAAGCTTTTATTTAAAGACTTCTTCCTCTTTCAGCCCTGCCTGCACCCGTGAGTGTTCAGAATACTTATTGTAGATTTTAAAGAGAAAAGGTATATTAATTTATGCTATTAACATCACCTCATAAATTATACATTTTATACTAAAAACTATTGAGTGTAATGAATTATGTTGCATATGTGTTTTAATAGCTATAAAATTATACACATTAACAAAAAATCTTGGACCCCTGCCCCTATGAAGCACCTTTTTACACTGGATCTTTGCCGTGTCAAGGTGTACAGTTATTCTTTGCTACCTTGCAGATATAAATATATAAATAAAAATTTAAATCATATAAGGTGAAAATGGTCTCTTGTATTGACAAAGCATAAAACTCTTTTTGACCCATATATTCCTCCACTGAGGACTTTTGTTTTTCTGCAATAATTTATCTGTGCTTTGTACCTATAATGGTTAGATATTTTTAGTTACAGGGTAAATAGATGAAATTTGAAGGCCAATTACTGCAGCTGGGACTTGTAAACCAAGTTTGTTAGACTCTTCTCTACCCTTCAATATATGTATTTCCAGTTAGGTTTCCAGGTTGGAAGTTCAAATGACAAAATGTTGAATCTAGGGATCCACAGTGTCTTAATTGGGAATTTTCTCCCCTCCTGTCCTCACAAAGGAATTCCCACTGTGACTTTATATATAGAACTTAGGTAACTTGTGTGCACGTATGTATACCACACACACACACACACACACACACACACACAAATATGCATTGGGGTGAAATTGTATGTGTGATATATGAATGTGTATATTGTATGTAGCTATGGTTTGTTTGTTTGCTTTTTTTGTAAAGAGAAAAGTAGTTGAGGGTTGATAGAATGTCTTTGTGGAAATGTGATCACTTAGTTAGGGCTCATTTTGTATTCACTCCTGTACAAATAACCAAACTGCATATAATTTTCTGTTATAAGGCTAACTCTCTGATATCATGCTTGCTTGCTTGTTTCTGATTCTCTGAATCCAATTGGATTGAGTCTTGTTAAAATGACAGAAAAATGCCATGTTTCCAAGACAGCCTTTTAAATTCATAAATAAAGGGGAAGAACATTGCTTAAGGAGAATTTAAAGTGGAATTTTTATCTTTGGTGGGAATGTCAGCCATGGGAACCAGCTAAACAAATTTAGGACAGTATTAGAATTGTCTGCCTCCAATTATGAAACAGCATTCTTGTCAGTTGTGAACCCTTCTGTTATGTGGCTTTTCCCTCCATATCACATTGTCATATCAAAGTTCAATGCATCCTATTTCAGAAGAGCACTGAATGTCTGAAAAATACTTGCTAGTGGGACTAACTCCGTTTTCAGTTCCAGAGACCAACACTCTAATAACCATTTCAATTTCTGATCATGTCAGACCTTGAGAGGACTGGGAGTCCTTTCTTGGCAGGTGCCGGTGTAAGTCCTGCTGTGAGCTTATCATGGTCAGCAAGTGGGGGGGGGGGAGTGTTCCGGAGCCACCGCCTCCCTCGACTGCCTCTCCCTGTAACTGAGGTTAAGCAGCTAGTGCATGAGGGAAACCTGTATTCCTGTTCCTCTCCTTGACTGCAAGGAGGCGATAGGAAGTATCCACGTCCATCTTCAGCTAATTGCAATTTTTAATGTTCCTGGTTTAGATTATTAATAAGCAGAGACAGGAATGGACCTTTTGCCTACAGATGCAGCCTTTGCTCCACCTTTAGTGGCATGCCAGGATGTCTCTAACCACAGTTTCCCATTTCATCTAAACTTGGAAAGCATAGTTACTCGCTTTAGAATTAGCCAAGATCCTAAGTCAGTGGTTTTTCTTTAAAAAAAAAAAAGGTTTTGGCTTGTTGGAAAGCTGGCAACCATAGTTCCCACTGAAGTTTGGTTTTGGGCAAAACTGAAATTATGCTTAGTATAGTTGGTTTAACTGCAGCCCATACAAAGGGAGGCTTCATGCATGAGCAAAATGTTAGTGCATATCCTGAATTATTAAACTATCAGATTTTTGCCTGAATGTGACCAGTATTTGAACTGGGAGTTGCAAGAAGCTAGGGTCATGAACTGTGGTTTGAAGCTGCCATTTTCCAGTCAAGAATAGTTAACACTAAGAGCAACCTGTCCAACTTTGGCTGTAATGACAAACTGCAGTTAGTTGAGAATGGAAGTGGCTGCTTCTGAATGCCTGAGGCTTGGGCACGCAATTCTGAATGGGGGCTTGGCAGCACATTGAACTGCACCACTGCCTGTGCTGCCAAATGCCTTCGTTTTGGTGAAGGAGGAAGAGGCATTTCCTTCCAGAGACTGGAGGGGTTCTCTGGAGGGCGTGCGTGTTCCTAAGGCTGGCTCCAGATTTTGCTCATTTCAGTAAGTGGCGAGGCAACATTGCCAGTGTTTCAGAGACCTCAGCCATCTTCCCCCATTCCCTTTCTCATTTGGATAACAGAGCTGTACTAGCCAAACCAGAAACAGTTATGCCTGCAATGCTGTATGTTCTGTTGTTATAGAAATCATGTCACTTCACTTCAAAACCTCCATCCATCCATGGGTTTTTTTAGCGCAACAGCATGGGGCTTTTGATGACAGCTTTCATTGCAAAACAGGATCTCTCTCTCTCTCTCTCTCTCTCTCTCTCTCTCTCTCTCTCTCTCTCTCAAAGTTGGGTTTCCCCACTGCTAGCTTTTTCCAATTATTTTTATGAAACTCATATCCCTTGTACATATGCATGCAGTGAGAGGGGGGAAATGTGGGGAATCTGTGGTCGTTGCTTCCTGTTAGTGGGTGAACATGGGAAGTACCAGAGTGAATTTATTTATGGGGGAAAGTAGATTCCTTTTGTGTATACATGTACAGAGAGATGTATATCAGATGTGGCAGCACTTCGCTGAATGTGGAACTGCCCTTTCCATGTACAAACGATAAGAATGTGAGACTCCTAATTATATAGTTGTGTGCATATTTGTGTCCATACACTAACTATACAAGTGGCACACATACAAAATCTTATGTCACAATGAGTATCTGTGTGGGATAAAGATCTATGTATAAGAAGCTGAAATTGTAGTTCCATTTGAGGGTTTTGAATGACTTAAACTGCTGTTTTGATCACCAGTACTTTGGTTGGCATGGAAATCTCTTAATGTGTTTGCTTTTATTTCTGATATAAAAGCCCTACAGGATCTCTTCTAGGTTCTCCCCCACTCCTGTTGAGCCCCCTTTGCATAATTTTAACTCCTTCACTTTTCTATCAGAATACACCTTTCTGCATCCTTGAACACAGGAGACAAGTTCTCTCTAAGTATTCAGAGTTAATTCAGGTCTCATACCCAAATTCTTTAAACAGCTCATTTTGAAGCCAGTTACTTAAACCATTTTGGCTTGTTTGTTTGTTTGTTTGTTTGCTCTACCAAAGCATAAATCCCAAATACATTTTTTGTTATTTTTGTTTCCACATGAAACATGTTTAAAAACTCCTTAATTTTCCTCAAGATGTATATGGGGGCTCTGTCTCCTCTGGACATTCCTAATCACTCGGGGTTGAACCATCTTCTTAACTTCAGCACAAATACCACTTTGAACCTGAGGCTTTATAAAATCATCTAGTTGATATTTAACAAGATTCAATTGATACTGAATAATTTTTCCCTGCAAACAAGGTTATTTCAAAATACACATTAGGTTGTCTTAAGCTAACAGCTTCCTCACATGACCCCGAGGCCGGCTGTGCACATGGGTGACTTCAGTGCATCTCTGGTTCCTCCATGGCACATTCGGCTTTTCTTTCAGAATACAGCAAGGGATGTGTGGGAAAAGGTGGCTCAAGAGGCAGCAGTAGTTGCATCTCTTGCCCATACGGCAGTCACTTAATTTGCAACCTACAATTTTAGTTATGTGAATCACCCTTCAGTTGGACTCAGGTAGCTCCCAGTAGATGACTAGTGTGTGAAGTAGTAGATAAGCCCCACTGAAATCATAGCCTGCTCCACTGTAGAATGCACTTTCAAATTCTTTGGTCTTCAGGGCTTCCGCATTTGATCAGTGTTTTGTTTTGTTATTTTCCCTCTAAATCTTGAGAGTAATTCTAACCTGTAGCAGGAAAGTATAATCCCCTCGGTGTCCATGCACAACATAGGGACTGATATTGTAGGGCTGTTTCGGAATATGTATGTATATATACATAGCACACTATTTCAGGGCATATATATGTGTGTGTGTGTGTATGTGTGTATCTCTCTCTCTCATCCCAGTCTACATTCATGAATATCTGAGATATAGATACTTTGTATGTGATTCTTGGTTCAGTTTTGACATTTAGCAAAATGCTGTCCCTTCTGCAGTAGCAGATATAGCATAAATGAAAGAAAAAATATAATTCTCAAAAGCCATTTGATATTGTTGTTTAATGAGAGAGAGGCTGGCTTATTAAATGCTGCCTGGTGTCAAGTAGCGAAGGTGCCTATTTTTAAGTGGGGGGTCCTGTTGATTGTAAAGAATAGCCTTCTCCTTTTAATCCTTTTTTTTAATTGTAAAACACTTTCCCTCCAAGTGTCCCTACAATCAACATGCTTCCATCACAGTTGTTGACCTTGTGCATCTGACAGCACTGGTGTCATTGAGGAGAAGGCATGTTTTGATGCCTCTGCAGAAAAACAATATTGTTCTGCCACCATGAACAGCCCTTTCAAGGGTGGCCATTTTTTTTAAATGAAGAAATGTCTAGAAAGGAATTTTGCTTTTTTCAGTCAGAAAGTTCTTCACTTTTGTGTTCAAAAAGAATTTCTCCGCCTGTTTTCTTACATTGTATTGTTATTATGTAACTCTCTCTTTTCCTATATCCAAACTGAATTGATATGTTTGGGTATAAAATATGAGGAGTGGAGATTTAAGAACATACGTTTGATTCATGGCTGGAGTAAGCAGTTCAAAGCCAAATACTTTCATTTAGATGAAGCTGGAAAGGAGGACATCATTGGATGATTGAACTCTACCAGAAACTCTGGCAAGGCACCCTCTCTCATTCAGCTGTCCTTGAGGGGAAGTTGGTATTTGTGTCATTTTAAAGCTAGCTACATTACAGCTTGATATCAGAAGCAGCCTCATAACAAAGAGCTTCATGGCAGCAGCCACTTTCTGAAACGGAAGAAGTTGCAGTGGGAAAAACCAAGGTGAGGCAACAGTACATTGAGGGAAGTGCAGCTTGCTAAATGTTAACATGCATCCTTCAGGGTAATTAACTGCACGGAAGCAAGGATTAATAGTCTACACCCGTTTGCCGTTCCCACTTCAGCACACAGCTTGTGTTTTTCTTTCTCATACCTGGAATGAAAAGCAGAGAAAACCTTTAACAATTTGAAGCCTAAACAGCTGCTTAAAGGGAACGTGATACGAGCGTGCACAAAAAAGCAAATATAATATCTAATCTTGAGTAGATAGGGACAATCAAAAACAACAACTGTATCCCTGCCAATTCCAGCGTGAATAGAGGCCTAGGTTTGTTCTGCTGGAAGGTCCCAAGGCAGCATTTCAGAGGAGGGGTCGTGTAGCTGGCATTTGTACTTTCCCTGGAAATTGGAAGACTCTTTTGTTCCTCATACTTCTCAATGAATGTACTGTATTACCATTTTAGAAAAGAATCAATGAAATGATAAGATTGGTCTCCTTTGGTTATCTGGTCCTTGTTTAATTGGTTTAAGGGTTTTTGTATACAGAAGTTTACATTTTTATGTATATTCTTGTGTAAAAAATGATGTAATATGTGTATAAAACACTGTATGTATTATCTGTATATAGTGTGAGAAAATGATTTTTTTCTTTCTTTCTTTTGGATGTATTAATAAATCTTGCTGTGAAGTAGCCTTAGTTTATTTTATTAAAGTCAAATTCTCACCTGAAGGGGTTATTCACTTACTACTGTGTTGGTGAGCAGTGCTCTTCTGTATTGCAGCCCTCCTGCCACATAAGAGTCAAGACCGGGGCTCTTAGGGACAGAATGCCACATATGCAGCCCCTAAACTAGTTTCCAGAAACACACCCACCCACCCACCAAATCCTGAGAATCCAGAGTTTCAGGTTTGTTTTCCTTCCAAGTGGTGGGAGATCCAGACAGTGTGCAGGCAACGCTTCTGTATGTAAGCAAGGATGCCATACTGTAACACTGATTAGTTATGAAATATGTTAAAGAGTTAATTCAAAGCAAAGAGGTGTATTCACCCCAGAGATTCTAATAAAAAGTGGACTCTAAAGGACTGAAATCAACATTAATTTAAATCCAGATGAGCAAAGGCTTTGTAAACAAATAATGAACGTTTTTACACCTTGAATAAGCTTGCCTGTCTCGCTTCATGTCTTTTTGTTCTGGAAGTGGGGGCTCCTGCTGACAGAGGCTTGTATTCGGCCAACCTTCTGTTTTCCATGGGCTTTAGCAGCAGTGGTGTTTTCTACTCAAGGACGTATGTTGCAATCTCAGTGATTCCTTGACCTGTTAATTTAGCCATGCTGTGTTTCTGCTTGTATGCCAAGTGCAAGTTTCTTTTACTAGAGAGCAGAGCAGTGGCCGCTCTTGATATTGTGGACGGTCATTTCTGGACGCACTTTCATTTTCAAGTTGCATAATCTCAACACTCCTTTTCACCCCGAATTTTAGGACCCAGCAGTATTAAAATGTCATACACATAAGGTGAATAAATCAAGCTACCTTTGGCAGGAGAAGCTGGCATTTCCCAGCTTACTGGATAAGTGAGAGGCCATTTGGCGACTTCAGCTAATTCTTAGGTGGAAGCTAAAAAAAAATTGCCTGCCTATATATTTATGTCCACCTGTGTTCTGGTAGTCACCTGCCAGCCCCAGCAAAATTGGATACCTGCTGTGTGGTGCAGCCAGTGGGGCATGGTGGGTATGGAGGCCCAGGAAGGCAGTCCTGAAACAGCCCTGGGGTTCTCTAGTCCCTCAGCAAACAGCATTGAGACCTGGAGCACCTGAGTATGTCATAGCATCTTAATACATGACCATTTTTAAATGCTTTTCCTGCAGCCTCTTACAACTTTTGCTTACAGCCTCTTGCCTCACTGGAAGTAGGAATCAGTGTTCTGGGGGGAGATGGCCACGATCACACCTTTCCTGCATGAGTGCGACCACGATCACGCCTGTCTTCCCACCCCCAGCACGATCATGGACATTGTAGCTATGTTCCTTGAATACGGACATGCTCTTCCCCACCTCGTCTTGGGCTTCTGCTGCAGCCCAAGCGAGCAGAGCAAACATTTTTAATTTTTTTAATTATGTTTTAAAATTTTAATTAATGTTTAAATTAACGTTAATGTTAATTTTTAAATTAATGTTAATTTTAATTTTAAATTAATGTTAATTTTAATTAATTTTTAATGTGCAGTGTGCATAGGAATTCATTTTTTTTCCAAATTATAGTCTGGCCCCACAACAGTCTGAGGGACAGTGAACCAGCCCCCTGTTGAAAAAGTTTGAGGACCCCGGTGCATGTTTTTGTGTGCAAGGAGCGCTACCTCTTGCCCTGGGAAGGGAATGCAGCCAGCCTTCATTCACATGCAGGGCCCTGTGGGCACACACGTACGTGGGCAGCAGTTCAGAGCACAGGGCCTGATCAGCCACGGAACCACCTGAGTGACTTTGGGTCAATCGCAGGCTCTCGGCCCAGCCTACCCCACAGGCTGGTTGTTGTTGGGATAAGATGGGGGGCAGCAGGAGGAGCATGATGCAAGCTGCTCTGGAGTTCTTTAAAAAAGAAAAAGGTGCAATATAATCTAATAAATAAATGCATGTAGGGCTCAGCTAGGGAGTTTTATACTCTGGTCATACAGGGTGAGGCAAGGGAGCTTTAGAAGGCCTTGTGTGTTGTATCCACTGTGACAAACTTTCCTCATCTCCGCCTACATCAACCGTCAGGCATGTTTCCGAAATGCTTCTGCATGCTTGACATGTTGGAACTAAACTTCAGCCAAGGCTGCCAAGGCTGAGAAAAGCTGTATTTGGCACGTGTGTATTTCACATTGTAAACTCACCTAAGCTGTAGCATTGTTGTGACCACCGATGTCAACAGTGTGCCGGGCTGGGAGCTGACCTATTCCCTTTGCTCCTTGCTGTCAGCTACTCTCTAGATGGTCCTACGGGAGTTTGTAGGGTTGCAAGGCCTTGGGGGTCAGCCCCAAAGTCTGGCTTTTACTGCACTGTCTCTCTATGAAGTCCTTCCCAGCCTTTTCCTAATGACTGGACATTACATTGAAATCCATTTTAGATTAAGAGTTGCATCAGCTCATTTTATTTATTTATATATTATGTTGTTGTTGTTGCTAGTCGCAAAGTCATGTCCAGCCCATTGCGACCCCATGGACAACGTTTCTCCAGGCCTTCCTGTCCTCCACCATCCCCTGGAGTCCACTTAAGCTCACACCCACTGCTTCAGTGACTCCATCCAGCCACCTCATCCTCTGCCGTCCCCTCCTTCTTTTGCCATCTATTCTTCCCAGCATCAGGGTCTTCTCCAGTGAGTCCTTCCTTCTCATTAGGTGGCCAAAGTATTTGAGTTTCATCTTCAGGATCTGGCCTAAAAAGCAGTCAGGGATAATCTCCTCTAAGACTGACTAGTTTGATCTCCTTGCAATCCAAGGGACTCACAGGAGTCTTCTCCAGCACCACAATCCAAATGCCTCAATTCTTCGGCGCTCAGCCTTCCTTATGGTCCAACATTCACAGCCATACATTGCAACTGAGAAAACATAGCCTTGACTATACTCACTTTTGTTGGCAGGGTGATGTCTCTGCTTTTTATATGCTGTCTAGATTTGCCATAGTTTTCCTCCCAAGGAGCAAGTGTCTTTTAATTTCTTGGCTGCAGTCCCCATCTGTGGTGATCTTGCAGTCCAGGAAAATAAAATCTGTCACTACCTCCATTTCTTCCCTATCTATTTGCCAAGAAGTGATAGGACTGGACGCCATGAACTTAGTTTTCTTAATGTTGAGTTTCAAGCCAACTTTTGCGATCTCCTCCTTCACCCACATCAAGAGGTTCTTTAGTTCCTCTTCACTCTCTGCCATTAGAGTGGTATCATCTGCATATCTGAGGTTGTTGATATTTCTCCCAGCAATTCCAACTGGTGGTTCATCTAGCCCCACCTTTCTCATGATGTGCTCTGCATCTAACTTAAATAGGCAGGGTGACAGTATACAGCCTTGCTGAGCTCCTTTCTCAATTTTGAACCAATAAGTGGTTCCGTGTCCAGTTCTTCCTGTTGCTTCTTGACCCACTTATAGGTTTCTCAAGAGACAAATAAGATGGTCTGATACTCCCATCTCTTTAAGAACTTGCCACAGTTTGTTGTGATCCACACAATCAAAGGCTTTAGCATAGTCAATGAAGCAGAAGTAGATGTTTTTCTGGAACTCCCTAGCTTTCTTCATGATCCAGCGTCTGTTGGCAATTTGATCTCTAGTTCCTCTGCCTCTTTGAAATCCTGCCTGTACTTTTGGTAGTTCTTGGTCCACATACTGCTGGAGTCTAACTTGTAGGATTTTGAGCATAACTTTGCTAGCATGTGAAATGAGTGCAATGGTGTGGTATTATTATTATTATTATTATTATTATTATTATTATTATTATTATTATTAAACATTTCTATGCTGCCCTTGCCAAAGCCTCGGGGCGGCTTACAACACAATAAGATACATTGAAATACAATAGAACATAATAAATTACCAATAAATACAGAAATACAAAAAATACACTGAGATACAATAATATAAAATTAAAATTAACAGTATAAAATAAGTAAATAAAGAATATAGGAGGAGGAAAGAGAAGGAAGAGGACGTTGCCCTGGCCAGATCATATATTTTAACAATTAAAATGATGTTTAAATAAAAAGGTCTTTACCTGGCGCCAAAAAACCAGTAACGACAGTGCCAGGCAGACCTCTTTGGGGAGTGAATTCCATAGGTTGGGTGCCACCGCAGAGAAAGCCCTCCCCCGAGTACTTACTCTCCTAATTTCTTTCATGGAGGGTTCCCGGAGAAGGGACTCTCCCGCAGATCTCAAGGGGCGGTCGGGCATATACGGACGTAAGCGCTCGTTCAGGTAGCCAGGACCCAAGCCGTTTAGGGCTTTATAGGTCATAACCAACACCTTGAATTGGGCCCAGGCTTCAATGGGAAGCCAGTGAAGTTGACGGAGGACTGGAGTCATGTGAGCATAACGCCCCATCCCCGTCAGCAACCTGGCAGCTCTATTGGTAGTTTGAACATTCTTTGGCATTGCCCTTCTTTGGGATCGGAATGTAAACTGACCTTTTCCAATCCTGTGGCCACTGTTGAGTTTTCCAAATTTGCTGGCATATTGAGTGTAGCACTTTTAAGATTTTGAATAGCTCAGCTGGAATACCATCTCCTCCACTAGCTTTGTTGTTGCTCAAACTTCCTAAGGCCCATTTGACTTCACATTCCAGGATGTCTGGCTCGAGGTCAGTGACCACCCCATCATGGTTATCAGGGACGTTAAGCTCTTTCTTGTATAGTTCTTCTGTGTAATCTTGCCACCTCTTCTTAATCTCTTCTGCTGCTGTTAGGTCCCTGCCATTTTTGTCCTTTATCATGCCTATCTTTGCATGAAACGTTCCCTTCATATTTCCAATTTTCTTGAAGAGCTCTCTAGTCTTCCCTATTCTATTGTGTTCTTCTATTTCTTTTCACTGTTCATTTAAGAAGGCATTCTTATCTCTTCTAGTTATTCTCTGGAATCCTGCGTTCAATTGGATGTATCTTTCCTTTTCTCCCTTGCCTTTCACTTCCCTTCTTTCCTCAGCTATTTGTAAAGCTTCCTCAGACAGCCA